ATGAGAAATGATTTCTAATGGGTACAAGCTTTCTTTCTGGGGGGACGAAAATGTTGTAAACTTAGATAGTGGTGGTGGTTGCACAACTCTGGGAATATACTCAAAACCAATGAATTTTATGGTGTTTGAATTATATCTCAGAAAAGCTGTTATAAAAATAGACTTAATCAAGCACATAAGGACAACTACATATTTGGGGAGTGGCAGAAAGAAATGAGTCAGTCTTTACTGGATGGGCTGTGCTCTGCCACGGAGTGCCATTACTACACACAAACCTGCAGGCAGGACCCGCAAGGTGGCCAAGCACAGAAGGCAAAGTAGGGTGGGGCTACAAGTGACGTATACTCTCCATCCAAGACATCTGCATTCCCACTCTGAAGTAGGATATTTATGATAAAAATGAGAACATGATGGTAGAAGAAGAAGGAAGACTATACGCTGTAGAGTTGAAAACATCTGTTTGATAGCCAGGGTTTAAAACTTGGTTCCCCCTTATACTAGCTTGTAACCTTGGACCCATTACTTAACCTCTCTAGTCTTCACCTTCCTGATCTATAAAATGGGTATAATAATAGTACCTATAGGTCACATGGGTGCTGTGAGGATACACTATGCATGGACAGCCCTTAGAAGAGCGTCTGAAAAAACTAAGCACTATCATCATCATTATCATCATTACTATTACTAATACCATAACGTTGTTCCACAGACTGACCCTGTTCTCAGCAAACACCACATGCTGCACAATCACATACGCTCACATTAGCATTCCCCAGGGGAAGTACAATCAAATGCTCTGTTTGGTTCACCAAGGAGTGTGAGCTTGGTCCTTCTCCATCTACCGACGACAGGGACTTCCAGGAGGCCCCTTCATTAACACAGAAGATAAAGGCACCAGGAAAAGCAGCACACAGGGCATTTACACTGACTAATAACAGTTACACTGAAGTACCTAGAAAGAGTCAGGCACAGTTTCAGGTATTTTACATATATTACTTCATTGAATGTTTACAACAAGCCCACAAGATAGGCATTATTAACTCTATCACTTTACAAATAAGGAAAGTTCAAATAAGTTGAGTAACCACCAAGTTAATAACAGTTAAATAAAAGTCAAAGCTGGAATTCAAACCCAGGTCAGTTATTCTATGGCATTTTCTAGTATATTATGTTGAATTAGATTTCTAATGGAAGAGTAATTAGAAAAGGAATTAAGAATGAGGGAAGGCAAAAAAAAGGGTGAGGGAAGGGTACACTTTTATGACTAACACAATTATTTCACACATTCAAATAATACTATGCCAAAGTACATTCAATGTCATGCACTCATTCATTCATTCACAAGTATATTAAAAATCCATTATGTGCCAGTGATAAAAATAGACTTTGAAGGATACTGACGTTCAAAGAGAAAATTACAGAACAATATGACCAACACATTAATAAAGGAATAGAGAAATGTACTGGACAAAGAGATCAAAAAAGCAATTGGCAAGGCTGGCCACCTCCACTACCTCTAATCGTCTTAAGAATTCAGAGGAAAAACCTGATGCTCATTTTCACTGCCATTTTTTTCTCTGGAAATATTAATGAATGGAATTTTAAGCCATACTGCTAAATCTTCCTTATAGTTTGTTTCCTGGCCCACAGAAAATCTTTTCCCGTCCTCATGGGGCAGGACAAACTTTTCCCCATGTGCAGGACTGACAAGGGAGTGTGGAGAGTGGAGAGGTCACAGCAGATCTCCCAGGAACGGGCCGTAAGAGGTCAGAGGCTGTTTGTGAGACCTGAAGTATTTACATCCATTCAGGATTGATATATTCTGACACACTAAATGGTATGTGGAAGCAATTCATTTCACATTTTATGAAGCACTATTTCACACGCTAGAGAATGTAACTTGCATAAACACATCTTAATTAAGCACTAAAATCCTAAAATCCTAGAGGGAGTTCCATTACGCCCAAACCACAGAAGTAACACTTATGGTTCTAGTCCCTTCAGAGGTACCAGATACTTTTCAACTCTTTTCCTCTAATAAAGGAAAAAGCAAATATCACTAAAGAAAAAGAATAAAGGGAAGATACATGGAATGTGTCTTTGGAAGGATCAGCTATATTCTTGGAGATGTAAAAAAGATCAATGCTGAGATGGTAAATAAGAAATATACTAAATTCAGTTTAGGAGCTAAAGTTTTTCAAATGATATTTTAAAATGATATGATAATCCAATACGATCATGTAATAAGCTGGCAACAAACATCTAATTGGATGCTATAGTATGTGTCTTACAAGAAAATTGTTAATTAAAATTCTAAATAAGATTTGATGAATTATTAAGACTGAGCTTTTCCTATAAATGTATAATTTCATAATGAAAGTTAAACAAGAATTCAGAGAAAAAAGCCTGATGCTAATTTCAATAACAAAATATTACTGAATTTATAAATTAATTATGATATCCAAAAGTTATTCCCATGGTAGGTACCATCATAGTAAGCAATAAAAAGCTACAAATAAATAAGAATTTAAGCAATATGCTTAAAATTAAATTGAAAATAAAGCATTAGTAACAAGAAATGTGGAAAACAATACCTATAACATATTATTCCTGAATAGTGTTTAGCACAGTTATGTTTTTTATTTGTCTGAAGAATAATGGGCATTGCCAATACCTGTTCTTGATAATCTATAGCCAAGCCAAATACTTACCTCTAAATTTTACTAAAATTTATGTACCAATTATTCTCTGTGATATAAATTAAAAGTTATTTTCAAAGTAGGCATATAGCAAATAAGATTTATTTTAAATTATATCATTTATATACACCTTTTTGCTAGTGTCTATTAAAATTAGTTGACTCCAATATTTTTATTATTATGAAATAAAACTGTACTAGGGTGGAAAATAATTTTTGAACTGTGATATTTGTTGAATTCCATGCTATTTTTTAGTTTTCTGTTTAAAAAAAATGTAAAGCTTTCATTTTAGGAAAATTTCATTTTGAAGACGTATGTATTTTTATAAAAACAGATGTCACAATAAGGACAGCATATCATATCTTTACTTCAAAATCTAACCTTTTGTTTTAGCTACAGTGACTAAAGTGCTTTTATTTATTTATTTTTTATCTGATAAAGGGTAGTAGAAAACAAACAATTGTTCTTAATAAGCTGTTAAATGACAACAATTTCAAGAAAAATTTTATGCCAACACAAACAAGCTTAAAAAAGGAAAGAAAAAACTTACAGAGTCTAAATAGTAAATCCAAACCAGAATGTATTAGAATCCCTCTCAAAGTCAGTTGTGTCTAATTTATAGATTTCACATATCGCCGATACTTCAGCTGGAAATCTCTCTACCTAAAGACATGTGACTAGAAATGAAGTCAGTTTAAGTTTTTTCTTCTACTAGGGCAAGAAACTAGAGCCTCTGTAGCCAGCATGGCAGAAAACATAGGGGAGAAATGCTGATAGAATAACATAATAATCTAAAACATGTACCTTTATTCTTTGGTCATCAACATCTATAATCGTAGCAACACGAATTAACCTGGGGTTTCGTTTATCCACAACTTCAAGTTTCATATTTCGCAGAAAACCATGAGGCAACCGCTGTAACATTACACGTGCAGCAAGTCATGCAAAATTCAACAATTCAGTTATGCTATTAGATTTTTTCTAAATTATTATTGTTCTATTTTTACATTCAGATCTTTAGTAGAAATGGAATTTAATTTTAAGAGCACATAAGACTTTATGCGCATTATTTTATCTAGTTTTATAAAAACCTGTGGGAAGAATTTTTTGGTCATTTTTCAATACAGCTAAAAAGATACACACAGATTAAATTATAAATTCACTACTGATCACAACAAAGTTCAAAAAAGGATCTTACTATATAGTTTAACTATTGGTTTGGTTTTTTTTTCTGAAATTAACCTTATAAATTAAAAGAAATTTTTAACTATTCTTACTGCCCAGTGTTGGAGCATATGACCCAACAAAATTATTTAATAACTAATTAGAAAGGATAAACATGATCCTTTATAAATCTAAATTTTGAAATACATTTAGATAAGTGACATAATTTCAACTGTTAAATTATTTTAATATCATATCACAATGTAATTTAAAGCCATAACTTGTACTTTTGTTACTTTATCTGTAACATAAGCATGTTAAACTGTATTAACTTTAGATTTCTTCCAAGTCTTAAAATGGAACCATTTTAAGGAACCAGGAGTTTATAATGATGAACACTCAAGCAATAATAAAGAAAATGGACTGGAAAAAAATATACCAGGAGTTACACTAAAATTAAGGAAATGTAACAAAATCAAAGTCAAAAGATATTTCTGACAGTATTTATAGACTGGCAAAAAGTTTTACTTTGAAAGCCATTATTCATAAAACTGTTCAAGTGACTTCATTGAAAATGAAAACTGATTGAATTCTTCAAGTCTAGAAATGGCCATTAGGAAAATAAAACTCTCATAATACATGAGCAATAAACAGTGAAATATTTCACCAATTTTGTTTTTTTTCTCTCTAGCTTTTGTGGAAGCATGTTTTTTTCTCTAAAATGCATTATTACATCTACTAAACAGTGTATACTAACTATAATTACATCTCTGATCCCTGCAAGTCTTCCTCTTCTCCCCAAGGTCACTGTCCTGACAACAAAAGTAATTGTTTTGTATTGCATATGTTAAAGATATATAGGTTGAGGTGAATCCATAATAGCACAGATATTGTCAAGGTTGCTTTTTTGGCTAAATCTTTTCATAATTCTATTTTCTTGTAATATTCTTCTTGGAAAAGTAAAATGAAGTTCTTACAGAAAGCAAGAGGAAAAGAGAGACTATAAACAGCTGGTATTTTTGCTCATTAACTTTCCGAATTCTTAAAATCCTTTCTAGCACTCCAGAACGTCAAGCCTTCTTAATACGATTATGCGTCTTCCACCAAATCCAGCCTATTAGAATCCATTTTTTAAAAAACAAAATAGTATTTTGTTTTAACCCCCTTTTGATCCCTAGAAAACATTCAGTAAATGAAATCATATGTAGATGCTCACTATATAAAATTCTAACTTCAGATGAGTCAGGGAGCCTGGAGAATCCATTAGAGTTGAAAACGAACACAGTTTGAAAACCACTGGTTTGGAACATAAATATCTCTAACTATACTATCAACACACTTTCTTTTATAACATAATTTATACTTGAGTCAATCCTGGAATAAATAATATAAGGACAAATTTGAACTTTACAAATTGGTAGTCTAACAAATGCTAAAAACAATGCTTCCCTCAGAACGGATAAAACTATAGCACATACAGACCATATGCAATTCCCCTAATTTATTATGGCCTCATCAACATTCAAACCATCCTCGAGACTGTGAAAGTTCAAAGTTCCCACTCAGTGGACTAACAGAACTGGAAATGAAGGACTCAGTCAACAGAAGTTAACGAGAGGCTTTCAATAGCACTAGTGTGGGGCTATTGTGTTTTTCAAGGAGGGAAATCATCACATTTGTGTATAGGAACACCAGTAAATGTCACCTCCTACGTATTTTTAACTAAAAGCAAGGCAAATTGGTTATGAAAATAACACTTGAATTTAAAAAGAAAAACACAAATAAAACTGCCTAATGAAGGCACGACACAACGTGGACATTGTTTAAAGTTGAGAGTGTATATGGTATACAGATACAGACTTACCATTTAAAAAAATTTGGCAGGAACTGCGCTAGTATGAGTAGCTTCCAGATATTCTGTCCAGGAAAAATTTTCTGGATCAGGATAACCTGAAAAAATATATAAATATCAAAAGATTACTCACTGATATTTTGATTCTCAGATACTATAAGATATTTGATAAGGACACCTACTGCTAATTGAATGCTCACAATTTGATAGCCCCTATGCTAAGAACTTCACATACATTACCCAACAGACTTTATGATCACCTCTGAGAGGGTTCTTTCACCCCCACTGAGGCAAGAGAGCACTCATTCATGGGTTCATTCATTCACTCAACAAGATTTGGCAGGTTGGCCAAGGTCAAATGGTGATGTGAGTATTGGACAGAGTCAGGGAACACCCAGATGGCCTCCTTTCAAGTTTGAAAAAACTGACAATCACTGTCTGATGTCAGACCATGAGCTGATAATCTTTCTAACCCCTTGAATACCTTTGCATCTATTAGGATTTTATTCTCATAATTAGTTTGCAATTATGATTTCCCAAGTTTGCTGTTATCATTGCAATTTAAAATAATATATTGGTATAACATGGTATAAAGCACTCTATTTTAAAACATTTCTACCTAATTGGATTTCTTGTTTCTGTTTGTGTTGTTTTATTCCTAATTACATTTGCCAGAGGTCTGTCTACACTGTTGTGCTGTTTTCTTTTTCCTTTCAAGGAATAAATACTTAGATTTATTCACTAGCTTTATTGTTTTCTTTTGCTTTTTCTAATTATCTCATTTGCTGTTTTTACTCTTATTCCTTCCTCATAATTGCCTTAGGTTTTTCCTAAATATTGGGCTGTAAGAAAAGTCATGACATATTTTTGCAATGAAAAACAGAAAAAAATACATCATGACTTTTCTGACAGCCCAATACTTGTCTTGCCAAACTGAATCGTAAAAACAATTTCTTTTTTTTTTTTTTAATAATATTGTAGAAGCATTTAAGGCTACAAACTTACCATCGTTGCTCTGGAATACAGCTTTAGATATCTGGACAAACTTTTAAAAAATATTTATTTTTCTCACTTCTACTTTCTAAAAGACAATTATAATCTTTGTCATCTTGATTTAATCACTGGCCAAATATTCATTTAAGAGATATATCAAGTGGTTAATTGTTGCAGTTGTTTCAAATATTAATAATCTCTGATGGTGGACAATACCTGAAGAAAAGCTGTGGCCATGGGGCATAGGTGGCTGAACCAAACAAGGGAAAAGGGTTAGAAACTGGGATCAATAAACTACAAAGCAGTGCATCAGCCAGGCGGCCCCTGGATTTTCCCATGGTGCCGGCAGTTCTCTAGGGGAAGAGGAAGATCTGGGTGACAAACATCTTCAATTAATGTTAGAGAATAACTAGAAGGCAACTAGATGACAGCAAGAGGGATGAAGTGTGTTGGAGTGGAAAAGCTTGAGTCCTCAGGAAGGAGGGGCCCTTTTAAACAGCTGAGACTTGCTTTAGGAAAAACAGTGGGACGACTTGGGATATGGCAAAATGTGCTATCTCCTTTACAGGCTCAGGGAAGTGGAGGTCTCACGAGGGGCAAAAGAAGAGGTCCTGTGTGCAAACGGTGGGGTAGATGGTCAACGCCAAAGCTTTGAGTTGAAAGCATTTATTGTCAAGAAAAAGGCCTTAGAATGTAAATATGGGGTAGGTACAAAAACCAGAGAAACTTAAGGTCAAACCAAGTTAATCATAAGTGAAAACATACTTAAACCGTGTCATTCCAGTAGATTCCTATATCACTCAGGAAAAAAGCAAGTCCTTATATAATGGCCTGCAGGCCCCTACACAACCTGGTCCAATGTCTCCCTAACTATCTAGCTCCCTTTCGTTCCACTCCTGCTCTAACTAGAACACAGCCGACTTCCTCCCTCCCCAAGTTCTTGCATTTGTTGTTCCTTTATCAGGAAAGTTGTCTCCATGGACCCTCCAGACTCCCAACCTTACCTCCTTTAAGTTGTTACTCAAATGTCACATTCTCAGTAAGTCCTTCCTTGAAATCCCTGGACAATTAGAAAATCACCCCCACCCCTGCCACCTGAATATATGTGCTTTTCCTAAACTCATTACCTGCCTTATTTTTCTCCCTAGCACTTACCACCCTCTAATGCATTATATATTTCACATATTTACTGTTTCTCTTGCTCTTCTAGAACATAAGTTGCCCTATGATAGGAATGTGTCTGCTCACTTCACTATTTCCTCCAAGCCCAGAACAGTACCTAACATATAATTCACACTCAATAAATATCTGGTAAATAGTTGGTGAATGAAGGAAATGTATTTCCAGAGAAGTCTGTATTTAATATTGTGGTCACCAAGAGTGACAGTGGTATGAGCCAAAATTAGACTGGTCTAGTCTCAAAATACTGAATGGAACTCTGATAAAACGTTGTTTGGCTTCTGGTACTGGTGTTACCAGAGGTATCACTAGAACGAGATGATACTCCTATATCAATACTGGCTAAGGTTCCAAGCAGCACAGAAGACTGGATAGTGCCAAGGGGAGGCCATCTGATTTGTGGCATCTGTACATGGCAAATGTAATACTCAACCATTTGTTCCATATAAGAAAGGCCAACTTAAACGTTAGATTGGTTACAGACTCTTCTTATAAGAGCAACCTCCATTATTTTTCCTCCAGAAACATAATTTTGCCACTGGAACATTCTAAAGAATTGGAATCAGGAATAAATAGCACAAGTTCTTAAGTTTCTGACATCCTGGTCTGGGTGATTTATCCCATGGAGCCTAGAGAAGTCTAACAACCATAATTATAACAGTGGCCAATCCAGGAGCTAAAAATCATAGATATCCTAGGACAAACAATGTTTAAGTAATAGACAAAAATTCCATTTATGTACCAGCAATAAAAAGGGATCTGATGAGTCTTACTGAGAAGTTTCAATCAGCATATTGATCATAAATACACATGCCATATGGACTTTAGGGGACTCTTCATCTCACTCTTCATTTCATTGATGAGGAAAGTGACACCTGGCATTTTAAGTGACTTGTCCAAGGCAAGACAACTAATGATGACTTTAAAACTAGAGCCCAGGTCTCCTGACTTGCACCTCACAGAAACTAAGAATTCTAAAGAGCTCCTTTGAGGTTCATTGAGTGCTCTGAAGGCTGCCAGGCCCTAAGGCCAAGAGAAAGTATCAGCAGATAAATGAGGGCCAGACGACTAGTACCAGTGAGGCCCTGACTAACTTTTGCCATTATTTTAAGAGCACGGATTTTCTAAGAAAGCCCCTCAGGCACTACTTATTTATTTCTCTGTACCGGGTAGCTGTCTCAAGGCAGAGCAGTAACTCATCCAAAAGTCCAGGTCTTCCTATGGTAGAGATTAAGGAAAGTTATCACTGACTGACTGTGTGCTGTACTCCACTCAGTAGGTTCTGCACACACAGAGTGGCTCTTTATGAAAATTATCTGAGCATCAAGCTGTCACTAATTATCCTGTGTTCAATAGTGGTATACTATTTAGTACAAAATGAAAGACATACAAGACATGAGGATAACCAGTTATTTCAATCACTGTTAAGCCTAATTTAGGTCCACCCAATTTTGTTTTCAAAGGACATGTTGAAATTGACCTCACATTTATGGTACCTTCGATACCAGAAGTCCTGGATTCATATTCAGCTCATTACAATTAAAGTTAAAATATCCTTTTTGGCAAAATAATACAAATGAGAGTCCTTAATATTTATAACAGGATGCCAGATTTGTTACTTGGTCATCATCAGGTCCTAAAGCATAAGGGAAATTCTTTGACCTATAGTATTGGACTATCAGTACCTCAAGCACTAATCAAAGTGCTCATTTTGTAGTTGATTATTTTGCTCAAAGCATGGCTGAGGTACAGTGCATTCAGAACAGACTAAGGAAATAGAGTTTCTTCTATGTCTAGTGAAATCACCAAAAACCAACCAGTCTGTGCCTCACTGGCTGAGTTCCCAGCAGAATTGTCTTTGAAAAGGCCATGGCTCCTACACTACCTAATCTAACCCATGCTTCATAACTGTCAGGCATTTGTGATGGGATATTTACCTGTTTCTCTCTCTGTCTCCTTCTCTCAACAACTGTTTATTTTGCTTCTGATTATCTCTCATTTTCACTAACTACGCAACATTCCACTGAGTCATTTCTATGACTACCTTAATGACCCTCATGTTATATCTTTATTGTTCTCTGTTATATCCTCAGCTCCTAGCTATGCCTTACACTTAGAAGGCACTTAATTAATATATGTTCAATTAATGAGTAATTTATATTTTTCTTTGAACTCTTACCTTATTTATGCCCACAGAATCTATCTATAGGAAATAGCTCAATGCCATTTAGAATATAATAATTCTTTGTGTGCCTAAAAAAACTTAATGGTCAATGTTACAATTAGATAAAAGATTTATTGATTCGGGGGAAAATGTCAGCGGTGAGGAGGGCTCCCTGAGTTCACCCCTGAAAATCTCCACAATTTGAACAGCTGGAGCGCAGCAAACAAATCTCTACCCAGCAGGCTGAGCAGCGAAGGGCCTCCCATGCCGAGTACTTAAAGGTGGGCAGACTGGGCGAGTGGGGGGAGAGGTAGGCGAGAGGCGTAGAGGCACAGACCACACCCACAGCAGCTGAGACTCGGGGTCCCAGAGAGCAGATCAGAGGGTGCTCCCGAAGCTCGCTCCCTGCACCTCCAGCCCATGCGAAGGCAGAATTCTCAGGCCGGGCGAGTAGGGGACGGAGAGAGGAGACGGGCGAGCTGAAACCCGGTCTGTCTGTGCCCGGGGCTTTAGAGCTATGGGATTAGTTCCCACGGCTCTCTCCCTGCACCTCCGGCCCGCGCTCGCTGAGACAGAATCCTCAGACCGGGCAAGTCGGAGATGGAGAGAGGACGGCTTGAGCAGAGGCACAGTTCATCAGCACCTGCAGCTATGGAGCAGTAGGAATCCAGGACACAGCGGAGTTGTTTACAGCATAAGGGCGGGCTCAGCCTCTGGGCAGACAGTCCCACGGGGAGTGTGACAGGAGCCGCAGGGTATGCA